GCGTTGGATGGCTTTGAGACCAACGGGCAGGGGCCAATTAAGGATAGCTTCTAGTTTTTTCTTATCCATTTGAAATCCAGACCCTGAAATTATATAACCCAGAAAATGCACAGTGTCTATATCAAATTGGCATTTTTCTAATTTACAGTAAAGTCCATTTTCTAAGAGTTTAGAAAGAACCAACCTAACGTGAGTATGGTGGTCTTGAATATTCTTGGAGTAGATTAGAATGTCATCTAAGTAGACAATAACAAACATATGTAAAAATTCCCTTAAAACATCATTAATGAAGTCTTGAAAGACTGCTGGGGCATTGCATAACCCGAATGGCATGACCCTATACTCGTAGTGACCATAGCGAGTGTTAAAAGCAGTCTTCCATTCGTGCCCTTTTTTAATCCTCACTAGATTGTATGCCCCCCTGAGATCCAATTTCGTAAAGATAGTCGCCCCTTTTAATCTATCGAAAAGTTCCGTGATTAGAGGAATAGGATAGGCGTTACGTATAGTTATTTTGTTTAAACCACGACAATCAATACAGGGCCTTAAGTCCCCTTCCTTCTTGGAAACAAAAAAAAACCAGCGCCAGCAGGAGAGGAAGATTTGACGATAAACCCCTTTCTTAAGTTTTCCGTGATATATTCCTCTAGTACCTTATTCTCGGTTACCGAGAGGGGATAAACTGTGCCTCTAGGGGGCATAGTGCCGGGTAATAAGTCAATGGGACAGTCATAGGACCGGTGTGGGGGTAATTTCTCTGCCTCTCTTGGTTCAAAAACTGCTTTTAAATCCCAATATTGTCTGGGTATTAAAGTGGTTAAAGGTTCCATAGTAGGTACATTAAGTAGACCTACGTGTTTAATAGGGGTAATACATTTTCTGCGGCAAGCCTCACTCCATTTTACAATTTCCTTTTTCTCCCAATCTATAGAAGGGTTATGTTTAGAGAGCCAAGGAAAACCAAGAATAACCGGGAAGATGGGAGAAGTGACTTGTTGCAGGATAATAACCTCCTTATGCAGGGAACCTACGGACAATACCACTGGAAGAGTCTCTTGTGTGATAAACGGGATAGATAATGGTCTACCATCTATGGCCTCAACGGCCAAGGGTGTTGATCTATTCTGAAATGGGAAAGCATGTTCCTGACCGAATCTATGATCAATAAAATTTTCGGCCGCCCCAGAGTCTATTAAGGCAATGGTTGGCACTTTTTTCTTTTCCCACTCAATAACAATAGGTAGAAGAAGCCTATGGTCTTTTTTATCATTAAAGGAGGACATACACATTACACCCAAGGCCTGTCCTCCATGAGGGCTTAGGTGCGGGAGTTTTCCGGCCGGTTAGGACAGGTTGAACGAGAATGTCCCTTTCGGCCACAATATAGGCATAGTCCCTCCCTACGGCGGTATTGTCTTTCATCCTCAGACAAACGCGTGACTCCCAGTTGCATTGGTTCTGGAGGAGCGACTGTTGTTGTCTCAGATGAAGGATAGGTTAACGCTAAGCGTTCTGGCACCCGTCGAGGTCTGTCTCTAGTATTCTGCCTGTGTCTAAGACGCTCATCAATGTGGGAAAGGTATGTGATCAATTCCTCTAGCACATTGGGTAGGTCTCTAGTGGCGACTTCATCTAGGAGTTTATCTGAAAGCCCGTTCATGAATACGTCAATAAATGCTTGTTCATTCCATCTAACTTCGGCCGCATGAGTACGGAATTCTAAAGCGTAATCAACAGGAGAACGAGAACCCTGTCTCATACGTAGCAAGGTTTTGGCAGCGTTAGTTCTCCTCCCTGGAGGATCAAAAGCCCTCCTAAAAGCTGCGACAAATTCTACATAGTTAAACACTACCGGGTTATCGTACTCCCACAGAGGATTTGCCCAAGTCAATGCCCTATCGACCAATAAGGTAATGATATACCCTATCTTTGCCCTATCTGTAGGGTATGCTCTCGGATGGAGCTCAAAATAAATACTGACTTGATTCAAAAAACCTCGGCAGCCTTTAGGATCACCCCCGTAACGGAGAGGGGAGGTAGCATGATTAGGAGTACCCATTTCCATGGGTTGTTCCTGAGGTCTGAGTACTGGGGTTTGCTCCTCCGGTTGGAGATGGGCAGTACGAGCAAGCAAGGTTTGTACCGCAATAGCGAACTGGTCCATGCGATGGTCCAGTTCTTCAAACCGGTCATCAGGTGCCGGTCCGAGAGGGTTAACACCTGCAGGGTCCATGGCCCTAGTGTAAAGTCACAACAATGACCCCTTCACACAGCGTGAAACCCACAGAAAGACGGTTACCGGACCTTAGAATGGCCGGACTAGCGTCTGAGAATAGTCAAGAGAAATAGCCAGAGGTCAAGGGAATACGGGTACACGATTATCCAAGCCAAGTGACGGGAAACCAGAAAACAGAATAGTCAGAGAGAGTTAGCCAAGGGTCAATTACCAGGAAGGACAATAAGAAAAGATAGCACCAGGGGACTTAAACAAGAACCACACTAAGTGTCATGATAGCCCTTTTATATAGTGTGGGTTCTTTGGCTTTAATTCCGTAGCCACGCCCCCAAAAAGTCCGGGAGCGTGGCCACGTTTGAATTTTGGCGCCATTTTCGGTCTGACGTCGGCGCGCATGCGCCGCGTCATAAATGTGGGCGTGTTCCGAGCGGCCAGCGTCAGAATCGCTGAGCCGCCCCCCGGAAGGATCGGAGGAGGACCCGGCGCTGCGCGGGACCGGTGGGGAAAGGTAAGCGCTTGTTACAGCTATAGCCGTTGTAGTGCGCTTTAGAGTGTGTCCTTTTAACAGGAAAGTAGAGTGAGTATGCTACGATTTCTTCAGGCTGGGTATTTTAGTGTTGAGTTTGCAGGTCTATAAGCTTTTCACAATTTCAACACCCTGATTAGCGAGTAAACCCACCACAACATAAACCCATTAGCAGCCTTACAAACACTACCCTATGAAACATACTGTGCTGCATCAAACATACTCTGTTTTTATTGCTAATAAGACATTGATCATAATTCGCTTGAGAACTCCATCTCACTATTGCTCAGCCAAACCATCAAGGGAGTCATGTTTATCTGTCACTGAAATATAGGGTACAGTCAACACGTGGCATTTCACAACTACTATGTGTTTATGGAATATTAATTCATTATTAAAATATTAAAGGATCACTATATGGTCAGGAACACAAACATGTATTCTTGACCCTATAGTGTTAAAACCACCATCTAGCCCCCCTGGGCCCCTCATAAATATACCAAAACCTTACTGTATTCAAGCCTGAAGCTGTAGCTCTGCATGCTGTTAGACTCAGAAAAACAAGAAGTCTGCTGACATCATCAGAAGTGGTGGCCTGATCCAATCACAATGCTTCCCCATAGGATTGGCTGACACTGACAAAGAGGAAGATCAGGGGCAGAGCCAGCATGATTCAAACACAGCCCTGGCCAATCAGCATCTTCTCATAGAGATGAATTGAATCAATGAATCTCTGTGTGGAAAGTTCAGTGTCTGCATGCAGAGGGAGGAGACCCTGAATGTTTGGATGCATTTTAGGCAGCCATGACCCAGGAAGGATATCTAACAGCCAGCTAAGGAGTGGCCAGTGAAGTTATCACTAGGCTGTAATGTAAACACTGCTTTTTCTCTGAAAAGAGTGTTTACACCAAAAGGCCTGAAAATAATTATACTCACCAGAATTCAATACGCTGTAGTTGTTCTGGTGACTATAGTGTCCCTTTAATTAGAAATATCTAAGCTGTACCAGTGTGATGCTGATTAGTGTGAAGCTAGTAGTGATAGTATGAGTGTCAGTGAGTAGTGTGAAGCTAAAAGTGAGTGTCAGTGAGTGGTGTGATGCTAGTAGTGATAGTATTAGTGTCAGTGAGTGGTGTGATGCTAGTAGTGATAGTATTAGCGCCAGTGAGTGGTGTGATGCTAGTAGTGATAGTATTAGCGCCAGTGAGTGGTGTGATGCTAGTAGTGATAGTATTAGTGTCAGTGAGTGGTGTGAAGGTAATAGTGTCAGTGAGTGGTGTGAAGGTGGTAGTGTCAGTGAGTGGTGTGAAGGTGGTAGTGTCAGTGAGTGGTGTGAAGGTGGTAGTGATAGTGTCAGTGAGTGGTGTGAAGGTGATAGTGATAGTGTCAGTGAGTGGTGTGAAGCTGGTAGTGATAGTGTCAGTGAGTGGTGTTATGGTAGTAGTGATAGTGTCAGTGAGTGGTGTGAGGGTGGTAGTGATAGTGTCAGTGAGTGGTGTGAGGGTGGTAGTGATAGTGTCAGTGAGTGGTGTGATGGTGGTAGTGATAGTGTCAGTGAGTGGTGTGATGGTGGTAGTGATAGTGTCAGTGAGTGGTGTGATGGTGGTAGTGATAGTGTCAGTGAGTGGTGTGATGGTGGTAGTGATAGTGTCAGTGAGTGTTGTTATGGTGGTAGTGATAGTGTCAGTGAGTGGTGTGAGGGTGGTAGTGATAGTGTCAGTGAGTGGTGTGATGGTGGTAGTGATAGTGTCAGTGAGTGTTGTTATGGTGGTAGTGATAGTGTCAGTGAGTGGTGTGAGGGTGGTAGTGATAGTGTCAGTGAGTGGGAAGTTGCACTATGAGGGGGCGTGTTCCTGAACCTGGTTTGGATACTCAGTACAAACATATAAAGCCATTCTCAGTGAAACCGTCACACCAAATCCTCTTACCCCGGTTTACTGCGCTGTCGCCAGCTGCCAACAGAGTCCGTAATTCGGAGGCGGAGATCCGAACCCGTTCCAACGTCGCCGCCATCTTCCCTGCGACCGCCAGCAATCAAAACATAAAAACGAAACGCACGACTACGGCGGCCTGCCTGGACCAAATCGCGCGACTGAACATGGCGCTGTACGGAGAAACCGGATGGGCGCCGCCATGTTTTTGGAGCAGTGCCTCTTGCAATGTACAAAACGCCATGTTTCTGTAGCACTCCTGACGCCGCCATTTTGCTGAAGCACAGGCTTGGAAAAGTACTCGCCGCCGCCATGTTTGTGTACGGAATAAAGCTAGACACGGGTTGTATGTTTGTAGGGTGCCTGAAACGTGTTTAGAAATACCAGGTCTGTTATTTTGCAGAATTATGAACTTTGCATATATTTCTGTTACATTAATGAACACCAGTGATTTGTGGTGAACTGACAGACATGTGTTTTAAATTAGCCCTGTCTGACAAATACATTTTAATAATTTCAGCATGTGTAGATATTTGTGCCACTATGTCATTGTGCTTAAATGTTTCAGGGCTTATTCACTAAAGTGAGAATTCATAATGAGTACAAAGTGAATTTTAAATCATGGACAAAATAGCCAAAATGGGAAAATTCTCTAAGTCTGCTTTGCTTCCACTCTCTGCCCTTTAATATGAAATTCACTTTGAATTCTCACTTTAGTGAATAACTCTCTTTGTTTCCAAATCATCACTGCTTGATGGCGAACAAAATCCTTGGGGTTTTATTCTCCAAACGGTAATTGGCAGTGAACTGAAAATCAAATTTGCAAAGGGTGTTTTTCACTTACTACCGAATTGTAGTGAAATGATAGTCGAAGTACAAGATTCTATCTAACGTAACCAAGCTATGGCTAGTAAAGCTAAATTTGGGTATTCGTCTAAATAATCCTTTTTTTGTTTTTTAATTCTTTATTTTTCATGCTTATGTTGATGGTAAAGATCAACATGCATAACGTAAACTTTGAAAATTCTTTAGGGTTGTTCATGCATAGGAATCAACAGTACAGTACCTGTATATTCAAGATAAGTAAAAGTCGAGCTAGGGGTGGGCTGCGTGGCAAGGTATTACCCTGGTTGCTATGTTCCTGGGATACTCCAGGCTGGGTGGTATCAGACTAGTCTAGGTGTTCCAGCAAGGTGAGAGTGAGACCTGAAGTCAAGCTAGTTGTGTGGTTTGCTAAATCGTGTGGTCAGGACGCCTAGCATGGGTGTCAGTCGGGCTTGAGTAGGTAGTTTGAGTATGTAGCCACTCTACCGGGGAGAAATGTTTGGCGTCTGTGTTGGTTAGAGGGCAGCGGGGAGGAGGGGGAGGGTGGCAGTCGCCGTCATGCTTAAGGTAGAGTTTTAAATGTCATTTTATCAGTTTAGCAGCGTAGTGCCGTCACATATCCGGCGGATAATTATGTCTATGGTCCTTACCCTACTTGCGAACTAAAGTAAGGCTTTAACTCTTATATACTTATCAACAGAAGGAAAAGAAAGTGAGAAATCATAAAATAGATTAAAGCTTTTGTGAGTGGCCATGTGGGGATTGGCTAGTTCCCAATCTGGTTCAGGTCACTGGTTCTTCTGAGTGGTGTCTCCTTTGTGGCCGCAGGGTCGGTGTCGTCTCGGTTCCAGGACTCTTCGATGGCCCCTGCAGCAGGCGGTGGTTGTGGTGTAGGTAGTCCAAGTGCCTCTAGAAAGGCTGTTGCCCCAGACATGGCTGTGAGAGAATGGGCAGTCCCCTCATGGTGGACCAAGAGAGATCCAGTGTGCCACCATCTGTAGGGTATTCCTGATAGTCTTTTTGTTTTTTAACTTACATTTTGTAATCACTAAACACGGAATTCAGGCAAATTGATATCAGAATTGCAATACCGAGTATTTAGATAAAGAAACCTTAACGCCGAAGTGACTGAATTGGAGAGATCCTCATATAACGTTATTATTTTAACTTGGCGAGTATGGTCTAAATTTTGCCTTCATCGCAATTCACTGTTTAGTGAACAAACCCTTAGTAGTGTTTCAACAATGACAGTCGCTGCTTACGGAGTCTGAAGTCCATATCCTTGGTGGGGGTTTATATTGTTATGTACAATATGTTATGATTAACCCCTTCAGGACAGAGTCAGTGCATCTCTATGAGGAAAATTCAGCGTCTCCATGCAGAGCTTTTTCGGCAGCACAGAACTAGGAAGCACCTCCAGTGGCCAGTTGGAGGTATCCCTAGAGGCAATATAAACACTGCCTTTTTTCTGAAAAAAAAAAATGCCTGAAGGGAACTTATATACTCACCAGAACAACTACATTAAAGGACCACTATAGGCACCCAGACCACTTCAGCTTAATGAAGTGGTCTGGGTGCGAGGTCCATCTAGGATTAATCCTTTCTGCTGTAAACATAGCAGTTTCAGAGAAACTGCTATGTTTACACTAGGGTTAATCCAGCCTCTAGTGGCTGTCTCATTGACAGCCACTAGAGGTGCTTCCGCGCTTCTCACTGTGATTTTCACAGTGAGAAGACGCCAGCGTCCATAGGAAAGCATTGAGAATGCTTTCCTATGGACTGGCCGAATGCGCGCCCGGCTCTTGCCATGCATGCGCATTCAGCCGATGACTACCGAAGGAGGAGGAGAGACCCAGCGCCAAGGAAAGGTAAGGAATTAACCCCCTTCCTCCCCCTCCAGCCCGGCAGGAGTGGAACCCTGAGGGTGGGGGCACCCTCAGGGCACTATAGTGGTCCTTTAGGCTGTAGTTGTTCTGGTGACTGTAGTGTCCCTTTAACATAGCAGGAGATAGGAAAATCTAATCTAGGAAATGCAGGGAGGTGTGACTAGGGTTCATAAACAAAGTGATTTAATTCCTAAATGGCAGAGAATTGACAACTGAGACTGCAGGGGCATGATCTATACACCACAGCTGTTTCATTAAAGGACCACTCTAGGCACCCAGACCACTTCAGCTTAATGAAGTGGTCTGGGTGCCAGGTCCAGCTAGGGTTAACCCATTTTTTCATAAACATAGCAGTTTCAGAGAAACTGCTATGTTTATGAATGGGTTAAGCCTTCCCCTATTTCCTCTAGTGGCTGTCTCATTGACAGCCACTAGAGGCGCTTGCGTGCTTCTCACTGTGATTTTCACAGTGAGAGCACGCCAGCGTCCATAGGAAAGCATTATGAATGCTTTCCTATGTGACCGGCTGAATGCGCGCGCAGCTCTTGCCGCGCGTGCGCATTCAGCCGACGGGGCGGAGAGAAGGAGGATCGGAGGAGGAGAGCTCTCCGCCCAGCGCTGGAAAAAGGTAAGTTTTTACCCCTTTCCCCCTTCCAGCGCCGGGCAGGAGGGGTACCCTGAGGGTGGGGGCACCCTCAGGGCACTATAGTGGTCCTTTAAGCTAAAGTTTTTTTGGTGACTATAGTGTCCCTTTAAGGTTTACTTCCAATGTGGAGCTGGATTTACTATGAAAGCTGTACCCACAGAATTTCTTCCTATGCTACCAACATGATCCTGCATTTATGTTGACTCTACCGGCAAAAGGAGTCGGTTGAATGCCTGAGCCCTAACATACTACTTGGACACTAGAGCCTTGCAGTATGCTAAAAGATGTTGGCAAAAAATTTTGGGAAATGGCGTGCCAACATGATTCGGCAATTCACCTGGCATAACACATTTCTTGCCAAGCTCTATGTCTGGTGCTCATTTGCTAGGGAGATTAGACCCAAACGACTCTTTCAAGCTTACGCTAGTAGACTTCTCCGTTTTCCTGTCACTGCAGGACCCTGAAGTGCCCCTCTACCTCCCACCCCCCATCCCAAGTTGCTGAAGGGGTTAAAACCCCTTCAGTGACTTACCGGAGTCCAGCGCCGATGTCCCTCGGTGCTGGGTCAGGCTCCGCCTACTCTCCTACCCCGCCGACGTCAGCCGGGGAGGGGGGGGCGACCTAATGCGCATGCGCGGCAATGGCCACGCATTAGACCTCCCCATAGGAAAGCATTATTCAGTGCTTTCCTATGGGGATTTCGGCGACGCTGGAGGTTCTCACGTAGCGTGAACACTCTCTAGTCCCTCTAGTGGCTGTCTAGTAGAATGTTATGTTATGAAAACTGCAATAATTACACTTGCAGGGTTAAGGGTAGTGGGAGTTGGCACCCAGACCACTCCAATGGGCAGAAGTGGTCTGGGTGCCTGGAGTGTCCCTTTAACATGAGACCGAGATACATACCTGCCATAGTTAGCTCTAATCACTCAGTGGTTTATACCCTCGTTGCCACTTACAGCTCTAGGCGCCAGCTTCCCTAACCATATATATGTTCACTCTACTAGAATTGTATGTTCAAAGCCTGTATTACAACACACAGTTAAAGCACAGTGTAACGTGATGCTTGAAATCCCTTACAGCTAGACAGACGAATCACTGCTAATTAGTAGTTTAACCTGCATTGTTATCTTAATATATAAAAAGAGGTTGATCCACGCTGGAGTTTAAGTTCCTAATATGACTTGTATACCATGTGTTGATGTTGATATGCTCTAACTCCCTCTTTTGCATTCTGTACTGTCTTAATCTATACCTCAATTAAAAAAAAAGATTGACCAAAAGAAATTTATGTTTTAAGATAATCCCCATCTCTTCAGATAGGACAGACTCCTGTTCTTCCTCTTCTGCTTTTTTCATTTAGGGTTACCCCCTTCTCTCTGTCCTGGTTTCTAAGTCCATATAACATAAGCTTCCAACTTTATTCTAGACTAGGATTTGAATTTAACTTTGAATTGATTTTCTTCTGACAGTTCACACTTTATTGAATAGCCCTGTGTAAATGACTACCCCAGTAAGTATAGTGAGTACTTGTGTTCCAGGACCATGACTTCAACATACTGTGTTACACTGGAAGATGTGCAGGAAGCGGAGAGACGTATCAGTGGATTAATCCATAAAACACCAATCCTGACAAGTTCTAGTCTGGATGCCCTGGCTGGCCGCAAGCTGTTCTTTAAGTGTGAATTACTGCAGAAGACAGGGTCTTTTAAGGTGAGTCAGAGATAATAGTTGACATAAAAAAACGAGTCAGGCTAATAATTGTTTCTCTTCAGATAGTTTGGGGGCAAATGTCAATATAGTATTTTAGGAATTTTTTTTAACTTGGACTTAAAGGTGCACTGTAGGGTCAGGAACACAAACATGTATTCCTGACCCTATAGGTTTAAAACCACCATCTAGCCCCCCTGGTCCCCTCATGCCTCCCTAAATATAGTAAATCTTACTTGTTTTTAAGTCTGGAGCTGCTTGCTTTGTCACTGTTTCCTTAAGACCTGCCCACTGCCTGCTGACCTAATCAGAAGTGGTAGCCTGATCCAATCACAATGCTTCCCCATAGGATTGGCTGACACTGACAAAGAGGCAGATCAGGGGCAGAGCCAGCATGATTCAAACACAGCCCTGGTCAATCAGCATCTCCTCATAGAGCTGAATTGAATCAGTGAATCTCTATGAGGAAAGTTCAGTGTCTGCATGCAGAGGGAGGAGATACTGAATGTTTAGATGCATTTTAGGCAGCCATGACCCAGGAAGGATCTCTAACAGCCATCTGAGGAGTGACCAGTGAAGTTATCACTAGGCTGTAATGTAAGCACAGCATTTTCTCTGACAAGACAGTGTTTACAGCAAAAAGCCTGACGGTAATGATTCTACTCACCAGAAAAAATTCAACAAGCTGTAGTTGTTTTGGTGACTATAGTGTCCCTTTAATATAAATAAAAAAAGTATGAGAAATTAAGTAATGTTGTTATTATGCATGGCATTTTAATTGAATTTCATAATACTGTTAGCTTTTACTGCATTAAAACACACATTTGTATGCTGTGATGTCCCACAAGTACAACAATTTCCACCTGTGTATCCTCCCAGGATTTTTTTGGAAGGTTACGTGGTCGGATATAGAGCTTGCAAATTAAATTCTCTGATATTTCTGCTGGACTGTATGAATTAGAGAGAGAGAGAGAGAGAGAGTGTGTGTGTGTGTGTGTGTATGTGTGTGTGTATATATATATATATATATATATATATATATATATATATATATATCTATCTATCTCACCTAGTTGAGAGCCTTATATTACGATCATGATCAGAGCCCAGGGTAAATATTTGATTCAGTGGGAGAGCCAGATCGTTAGGGCATACTATGTCTTCTGTGTGACTGCATAGCACGCCCTGTAGTGGTTATGGTGCTAGGAATCCACAGTTGAGGCAAACAAATTTTTATCCGCGTTAGAGATACAACTCTATATGTCTTTAGACAGACTTAATTCAACTAATTAATACTGTCCAAATCTGATATTGCTATTAACCAGCAAATTATATCACAATCCCGTTCAGTCCCGATAAAGCCAATGCATGCATTGCAAATGAAGTGAAATCGAAACAATATGAAAAATCCTGGAAATGACAGGTCCACTTTTTTATTAATTTTTTCCTAGCAGGCAACAAATTATTTTAGAAATCAATTCCCCTGAATTGTATTTAGACATATAAGGCCAATCTTCAAATGTGCATCAAAATTTTCTATTTAGCAAATATTCAGTTTCAAACTTTCACTCCATTTCAGATATTTCCAAGTTTTAGCCTTATAATATAGTTGGAGCTTGCCATCTATCTTGTCTCCTGTTTTCCAGATTAGGGGTGCGCTGAATGCGGTGCACAAATTGCCTGCAGACCAACCCATCGCCGTAGTAACACACAGCAGTGGTAACCATGGTCAGGCTCTGGCCCTGGCAGCACGTATGAGAGGTATGTATTGAATCTGAAATACTGATCTTGGCAGAGTTATACATGAACCGCTACTTACCGGATTTTGATCTCAGGTATTCCTGCACATATAGTGGTACCACGAAATGCTGCATCATGCAAGAAAGCTGCCATCCGTGGATATAGTGCCCAAATTGTTGAATGTGAACCTACTGATCAGGTGATAAGACTTTTCATTTTATATTTTATATAAGATGCACTTAAAGCAGCATTATAGTTATAAGTAGCTCCACTGGAGATCTATAATAGTAAAAAATAAACACAACATAGCATAATATAGTTATAACAAAATGGAAATATGTGGTGTTGGTAGAAAACTCACAAACATGTGAGCGGTTTCAAACGCACCAGAGAAGGTCTCAGATGATGGAAATTCTCGTATAGAAAGGAAGGAAAAAAAAATGCATATGTTGAAGTAAAATTAGAACATGGAAAGATTTATTAGAATGCACTTACAGACTGTAGTAAAATCAAGGGCATATCTCCACTCAGTGTGGAATGCAGCAGCGTGGTAGATCAAGGAAAAACGCCAGCAGAAAACAACAATAAAAAATAAAAAAAAACCCTCTTTACAGAGGTGATGGGTGAAACTATTCAGTGCCTAAAATACAAAGCAGCTCAAACACATAAAGTGGAATACCCTTATTTCCACAATAAAAAAATACACCACCTAGTGGAGCACTAATACAAATATAAGTGATAGAGGGGTTCACTTACCCCAACAATTTTGTGTTGTCTTAAATTCAGGAATATGCTTTTAAACATACACTGAAGGGAACAAAGAGAGAAAAAAACATATAGTGTAGATGATTTTGGTGAAAATGAGTGATGAAAGTAAAAAACTGAAACCACTCACATGGTCTGGAGCCAATATAATATTGGCTCCGTACGTAAGCCTATGTGCTCTTTGGGCAGCAACACACCCCTTCCTCTGAGCTGTACCTCCACAACGACAAGGAAACAAAATGAGAAAGAGAGCCAGTGGGTGGTATATGTGCAAACAGGCAGCTAATATATAGGTGGTAAATGTTATGCTCACCTAGTTGAGAGCCTTAAAATCCTGGCTCTGAGGGTGGTCAGTGATGTGCCAGTATGAAGGGATGGCACTTCTCTGTAAAGATTCCCAGAGGCTCCAAGGATAAAGAAAATGTATTGATTCCAAATAAAAAGCAAATATAAAACCAGAAATTTGGAGTCTAAAAATTATAAATAAAATTCCAAATCAACCAAACCGTGTTTCACTCGTCTGTAAGCTTCCTCAGTCAGCTGTGAAGCTCACAGATGAGTGAAACGCGTTTTGGCTGATTTGGACCTTTATTTATAATTTTTATACTCCAAATTTCTGGTTTTATATTTGCTTTTTATTTGGAATCAATAAATTTTCTTTATCCATTGAAGTCCTTTGAGCCTCTTTGAATCTTTACAGGGAAGTGCCATCCCTCAGTGTAGCGTTCAACTGAAGAGTGTGTACTGCACGTGCGCATGTTCCGAAATAGGAAACATGCGATCGCGCAGAAGCAGACCACCCACAGTCAAGGGAGAAAAATTTAAACAGAGGCAAACCGTATCGGGAAAAAAAACTTTCTTAGGCAAAAAAGTTCAGATGCCAATCATAGATCAAATTAGTATACTATGTATATAGTACAAATGCAAACTAATGTGCATATAACAACATAGATAAAAAAGAATATTACAAAATATGAAAAATATATATCTAAATATACTAGTATAATAGTAAAAAAATAAATATTAAATAACATAGTATAATCTAATAGAAATATGATTGGCAATACAAACAGATACGGTATAGAGAACTGAAAGGAAAAGAGAAGATATCATATAAGACCTTGAAGGTCTATTTCTGCATTCAAACCTCGTTTTAGAGTTTTTAAAGTGTAAATCCAATAGGCTTCCTGCTTAATGAATTCCCGTAGTTTGTTCCCCCAACCTAAAACAATTTGATCTATACCAATTGCTAACAAACTGTCCCAACGGAAGATAGGGCAAGAATTACAATGTTTCGGGACACATATACAAAATCAATTTGTATATTTTGTAAACGCTGGTGGGTGCCCAACGTCTCTCTTATAGTTTCTATCCCTTTCTGATGGGGCCTTCTACTCTAATCTAAAGTTCACTTCCCAATTTTGTGCGACCACCATAGATTTTATAGATCTTACAATATACACGGATCAGAACCAACTAAAACTTATTTCAAGCCCACTGATTGCAATACAGCAATTGAATACTCCAGTTCTCACCATCCCTCGTGGCTTTCTAATATCCCCAAAAGTCAACTTACTCGGTTTAGGAGGAATTGCACCAATGACCACATTTTCTTACAACAAGAAAATGTTATAAAAAAATGATATATAGAGAAAGGTTACAATGTAGCCAAATTGACAACAGATGAACTAACTGGACTTAACACTGATAGATCTATCCTTCTCCAAAATGATAATCGACAACAAAAAAATAAAAACAATCATTCTAATAAATTCCTATTTGCCTTTATTATGCAATACAAGGCTCAAGCCAAAACAATTGAAAAAAATACTTAAGAAATATTGATATATCTTGGAGAAAGATGACATATTGAAATTCCCCACAATTATATACAAACAAGCTATTAATTTGAAAAATAAATTAGCCCCCAGCCTTCTTCCTATCAGCTCTTCCCTTAACCATCAAAAATTATTGTATACCCCTATTTGTGGCTTTTTTTTTTTTTTTTTTAGCTGTGGTCACTGTTCTACATGTACGTTTCAGAGAAGAAAGATTGAAAAATTTGTAGGCACATATACTCAGAAAACATATACTATTAAGAAACATATACAATGTTCATCTACCTTTGTGATCTACTTGCTGCAGTGTGGATGTGGAGCCCAATATGTGGGCCGCACCACCCGTACGCTTCATGTGAGACTGTTAGAACATTTTAACAATATTAAAAAAAGGTAAACTTCACTACTCCGGACAGATAACTGCGCAAACGGACAGTTAATGGACCACAGACAGCCATACCCAGCTCTACTTAACACATGGAGCCTCAACACGACCGCAGACACAAGCCCACGAAACCCAGCCCAGACACCCACGGAAACAAAGAACACCAGGCCCCGTGACGCTAAACAACCAGACACACACACGCCAGGTCCACGAACACGAGACACGCTTACCTATGCTCATCCCTATTGAGCAGGGAGCATGGTGATTAGGGGGAAGGGAGACAATAGAGGCGGACGGGAGAGGCCCTACACGGACCCACACGACAAGAAGAGGGGGACGCACGTAAATCACAGGACATGACTCCACTACAGCCCTCTCCGTCCATTGACAGAGACCTCAGGAAAGCAGATCCTGTCCAACTCACACACACCCGTGACATACGCCCATTAGCTAACCGAAGATACAGTCCCCTCCCTGCGAAGGTTGGACTAAATCTGGGAGACTGCAAGGAATGACCTGACCCAGCCATGAAAAGGGGCAGGGCTGGGGTCCCCCTCCACCTCACACAGGGGTAATAAGCGTCCCGTACTTGACACACGCCTCAACGCCTCGTTCCCACTCCCCTAACAACGAAGGCCAAATACAAAGGGAAGTGTGCGGCATAGAGACAGGTTCTGCCTACTAGGCTCACATCAATTGGGTCGGTACCGAGGCACACCTTAGAGAGGACCCAGACTACCAGGGACTCTCCTGCTGGGACTGTGGGATGCAAAGGGCATATCTACCACGAATGCTCCATAAACCAATATGTGTCGAAACAATAACATTACTGTATGATTGGCATCTGAACTTTTTTGCCTGAGAGAGTTTTTTTTGCCTGACACCCTATTCTGTTTAGGGCGACTGTTCGCCTCAGTTTAAATTTTTCTCCCCAGCCTTCGGGTGGTCTGCTTCTGCGCGATCGCATGTTTCTTATTTCGGAACAAGTACACACTCTTCAGTTGAACGCTACACTGAGTTGATCCACTTCGGCACCCATCCTACTTCCAGATGCAGAGAAGACACGCCTTTCGCGTTCCACGGTGAAACGCACGCCGTCAGGTGCAATGGATCATTTAGAGCTTTGCCGGCTTTATAAGAAGTCTTCGTTACAAGGAAGGATTACAGATCCCTGAGGAAGTACCCTGTTGGACGAAACGCGTTGGATCCCTTTTATCTGGACTTTATTGTCTTGTATATTTATGTATTTTTTATTATTGTTTGCTGCTGGCGTTTTTCCTTGATCTACCATGTTGTTGCTGCTGCTGCTGCTATATTCCACACTGAGTGGCGATATGCCCTTGATTTTACTACAGTCTGTAAGTGCATTCTAATAAATCTTTCCATGTTCTAATTTTACTTCACCATATGCATTTTTTTCCTTTTCTTTCTATATGAGGATTTCCATCATCTGAGACCTTCTCTGGTGCGTTTGAAACCCCTGGTGGGGTGAAAAGCCTGAATCATCACGTTTGTGAGTTTTCTACCAACACCACATATTTCCATTTTGTTATAACTATATTACTCTATGTTGTGTTTATTATTACTATTATAGATCTCCATTGGAGCTACTTATCCTGGTCTACATTTTCCAAGTGGTTTCTTAATTTTATATCTGTATACTAGGTGTTTTCCCCACTTTTTGTTGTATTTTTACTAATTAGGTGCCTGGGAAAACTTTTAGTTCATTACGTATTATATTGTTCACTTTAGTGTATATACTTTCTTTGTTTCTCAGCATTATAGTTATAGCTTGCAGTATGATGATATATCAGAGAAATTCCTTGGTGGATTTAACAACCATTTCCTAAAGCAATTAAAGTAATGTATTAATAAAATGCTTCCGACAGTTTTTTTGTTTTTTTATATAGTAAAGTGAGATTTGAAAGTGAATTTCAGATTTACACCCCTCAAATGGCACAATAACTGCACATAACAATCGGTTTTATTGTCTCAAAAACGCCATCCTGGTGCACAGGGTAGATTCTTTATAACGTAAATTTAGAAACTATTGGAATGTGTGCACGATCATTCTTATAATTTCTGCACTTGTTCTTAATAAGAAATGCATTATTCAAAAATATAAAATAGAGATCATGGAGGTCTTTGCAGGCTGTTAGAGAAACTTTAAGTGACTGATATGCCTCTCCACTAGGAAACTCCCAATAACAATTTATTCTAGATGAGACAGGGCACTATGGATGTACATGACCTGCTTTATCAAAATTATTAGCAATAAAGATACATTATTTGTGTTTCTTTAACTATAAGAAAATAAAGCACCGATGTCTGTTCATTAAGCTGGTATGTTTACCTCATTGGCTCCTAAAAAATGAGTACTACTAAAATCATACCATCTTTGATCTCCTAACAATCTTCATAGTGGTAGGTTTTTAAAACTTTAACCCAATATGACATGAGCCACATATATTGGTAGTTTTACTAACAAACGTACACAGTTCAGCTGTTAAGCTTTACCTTATTACTACTTGTTACCAAGATAACCATTCTGTTGAGAGCTGTCAATTCAGCTGGGCAAATCAGCAGCCAATTCAGCTTACCATTCCACCTGCACAGATATGATCTAGCACAACATACAGATTTCAACATGATTGTGGTCTTTTCTCTTTGAAGTCCCGAGCAGATGTGGCAGCTCAGACTGTAGACAAGACTGGTGGCATTCTGGTCCATCCAAACCAGGACCCTGCTGTGATTGCAGGACAGGGCACCATAGGATTGGAAGTGCTACAGCAGGTACTTCAAGAACTAAAGTGTTAAGTCAAATAAGTTCTTTGTATTCATTGAAAATAAATGATCCCATTATGTTTAATTTGGTTTTCTTGAATAACAGGTCCCAGAAGTGCAGGCAGTGGTCGTACCAGTAGGAGGAGGGGGGATGTTGGCAGGAATAGCTGTTGCTGTTAAGGTCTGTATATTTACACGTGTGTCCATCTTCAGTACTTTACTGTTTTAATCTTCGTTTTATGTTTGTAAAGAATATCTAAGCAGGTTTGTTAAACAAATGTTCTCCCCACAGAAAATATATATAGTTTCATATTATACCTCTTGTGGTATAAATAAACCATCACATCGTAGGAAATAAGTCAAAATTTCATGTATACCTTGTGCTAGCACATATATACATTTCTTTAATATTGGAGGTTGTAATGTAAATGCCATTGGCAGAATGATAAACACTACCTGGGAAAAAGATTTCTACACCGTGTAAGGCAGTGACAGCAAACCCAGACACTCCAGATGTTTCTGAACAGCATTTCTCATTTTTAACAAGATTATGTTCACAAGCATCCAGGACTCACCTTTGGCTACTGTTGCTGCACACCAAACATGCAAAGTACAGATCCATGCGATTAGAACCAGTTATAAAACCTCTGGGAAAAAAAATCCCTAAACTTCCTAAAGCTTTTCTCCAAAATCTTATTTTTTATCCAGTATATTCCTTTGCATATTCTGCTCACTGGTACTTTTTACAGGCAATCAAACCAAAAGTGAAGATATTTGCAGCAGAACCTCTTAATGCAGATGACTGCTATCGCTCAAAAATGAACGGAACTCTGACTCCTAACCTCAGCCCTCCAAACACCATAGCAGACAGTGTGAAAACTAGCATCGGCCCTAACACATGGCCAGTTATCCGAGACTTGGTGGATGATGTGTTTGTAGTCACTGAAGAAGAGATTAAGGTAACAAACAGTCGTAAATCTTTAATAACAAATAGTGTGAATGTAATGAAAAAAACCTTTGGATCACCAGTTTTGTATTTTTTTTTTTAATTCTAGCACCAAGTCATAATTATACCTCCATACCGGTAGGGTTTGAGATCTTCTTTATCCACTTTAGTACTTGGGTATTTTCACCTACAACTTAACTTCAATCAGTTAGTGAATAAACCCTAGCAACCTGCAGTATTCTAGGTATTTAATGGTGTAGTAGTTGGATATTGACTGTTTTATTTTTCAATGTTTTGGTTTTAAAAATACCAGTTTCCTGAACTCTCTGTCCACCATACAGGCTGCCACACTCTTGGTATGGGAAAGAATGAAGCTGTTGATTGAACCCACTGCGGGATTGGGTTTGGCTACGGTTCTCTCTAGTAGATTCCAAGAAGCTGCAAGTGATCTGAAAAACATATGTGTGGTGCTGTGTGGAGGAAACCTAGACCTGGGGAGTGCAGACTGGGTATGGAAGCAGGTTTAGCAGTAAAGGGTGAGGCAGGAACTCTAGTAAATCAAGATAAAACAATGTTAGAGTATCACTATCGGCATGCTGAAGCCTCAGGAAATGGAAAATAGAAGATGACCTGTTATGTGTTTTCTCCGAAATTCACGAATATAAAGAAGTTATTTTTCTGATCTACAAGCAAATCAAATAAGGCAGTTCCATTTGTTTCTATATTTTATAATTCACATGTCACTCTCAACTTTTCAAATAAATACAAATTTCAGACATGGAACTCATTCAAGGCACAGAGAAGTCTTTTTATAGCATGTATTCAATCAGTAGATTAGTCCATTTCCACCTCAGAAGGTTCAATTGTGTTCTCGTTCTTTACCCAGGTCACTGGTGGAGCAACATATGGATCATAATTCCACTTGGGGTACACACGTTTGTACAGGTTCATTAACACTGTGTCCTGTGATTTTAGCTGCCCATCAAAAAGGCATTTCATATGGCCGTGTGTTCCTGAAGGAAGCAAGAACAGCTTTTTATTGCTTACATCTCCAAAGGCGACACAGGTAGATCATATCCGACTTTGAAAAGTTTTAACATTATTCTATACATTTCAAAACACGGAAGCATTTATGCTACTTACCGAGAGGTTCTTTGATATGCCCCCTCCGACCCCATTTGGTACGCAGTTCCACTGGTTTAAACCATAGGATATCCTCTGCAAAAATAATGTATCATGTTTAGTGACAATGAACCGAAACACAGAATGATCACAATTTATCAGCTAAAGCTAATATAGTTTGATATTTGTGTTTTATACATTTATGTATTTAGACCTAAAATAAGAATCAAACAGCTGCAGTAAAACAAACCGATCAGTGAAAATAGCTTTTAAGACTAAACAAATATACACACTCCACTTAAAGTGTATATGTGATTACAAACATGACTGTTTTTGTACAGGAAAGAACACTTCACTTATCCATTCTGCTAGCAGCAAGTGGAATACTACAGCTCAAACGCCATAACAACTCACAAAATGTGAATGTTTCCCAAATCCATCTAAGCCATACATTAGTTGGGTATTTTGCAACTATAATATATACAGGGGAAAAAAATCCTACCTACCGGAAAGTAAACTTGTCATCTATACAGTATAATCTGTGGATGTCAGATTCATGTAACCAGGCAAGTTCAGGTTTTAAATAATATAACTTTTTCAGTAGTAGTCATAATTAAATCAAACGTCTTTTGAAAAGACAGAAATATACATTACTTTTTAGTCACTTCCTGGTTGCCCTTTAACAACCATGACATATAGTAAAAGAAAACGCTAGGTTAGTAAATGCATATTTTTAGGTAATATAAAAAATACGTTTTTCTTCCATAAAGACCAAAATTATTGGGTGATGTTAATGGCAGAACTGTTTTGGTGAGTTTTTTTTGCAGTTAAAGGACCACTATAGGCACCCAGACCACTTTAGCTCAATGAAACTGAAACGAGGGAGCCCGGCGCTGGAAAAAAGGTAAGGGATTAACCCCTTCCTCCCCCTTCAGCGCCCCGGGAGTGGGACCCTGAGGGTGGGGGCAAGTATGTTTTCCTGGCACTATAGTGGTCCTTTAATGCAGATGCCCACCCTTTTCTACTCAGTTCAAACTCTTGTCATCATTCTAGGTAGTGTCACATTAAAAAGCATTTGATTGGACAGCTGGTGGCTCAATAATTCAAATCATTACTTATCACAGAGAAGCACTGGATTGTTACAAGCCAGTAAATAAGCTCTCACGGGGCTAGGCTCCATCCATGAGAGAGGGGGACTTCCGGATGCTGGTCAGATTGGGGGAGGGGCTTCTTTGCGTGGGAGAGTTAATTTATAGGAGCATTCACAGCGCACTCCCTGCCAGTGAAAATGCTGTGCATTAACTGTCATCATGGCGTGTGTGTGTGCTGAAGATAAACACAAAATAAGCAGAATATTGACATAGGCAATTTGGAACTCTTGCTCTAGGCTGCCTGACAGCTGCTAGACGCAGAGTTATACCGTGGCAGAAAAATGACATCTGTGTTGGCAGCATTCCAAGCAGAAAATGGCTATAGGGCGTAGAGCAGTGATTTCCAAACCAGTCCTCAAGGCACACCGAGCTGTCCAGTATTTACAGAGTACCCAGTTGAGTCAAGGCGTTTTTTTTCTTTCTTTCTAAAAACGCCTTAGTCAACTGGGTAATCCCTAAATCCTGGACTGGTAAGCGTGCCTTAAAGACTGGTTTGGAAACACCACTGACAGAGTAACCCGCATACAGCATTGAAAGTAAAATCTAACCTACATGCATTCAGCTGGAGGAATTCACCCGTATATAACATTGTAGTTGTGGCATAAATAGGAAGACACATACCTCTATTAAAGAACATGTACCGCACCACAGCTGTTCTTGTCAAGATTTTAAATGGATGGCCGCTCAATACAATTCTCTTGATAATAATTCTATCTGGATCAACACTTAAAACAGAACCTGTGGCCACCAGATCATGCATTCCTAACAGAAGAAGAAAAAAAAATCCATTAAAAAGGTAATGCTAGGAAACTTCCATGAAATATCTCCCAGCCACATGCACTTGTCCCATACTTACCATTATTTCTCTGCTTAAACATAAGCACTGATGCTGGTGGGAATATAATTGGAGCATAAACAGTGACTACCACAGATGTATCCGACCGCATGAAACGTTCAGATTTGTGTTTATCAGCTGGAGAAAGAAAGAGGGAAGTCATCAAATCATGAATTAAAAAGTATTATTAGTGCCTAATTCAGAATCATGCTACACAGGAGAGGTTAGCTACATCATAGAAATGTGGTTTAATCACATAACACTTGCCAAATTTCCATTAGTCCAGTTACATGAAAGACAAGAAGTATTGCGCAAACAGTAATAAGAAATGTGCATGATTACTCTGTACTGTACGATAAGTCTTGCCACATGACACAATATACCATTGCATAGCAGAAAATAAATACAGTTGTTTTCCTGTATATTGCTATGATTTTTTTCATACCAGATGTATGCTGGGAGAATAGAGGGGATGCCCGGAATCGCCTAAATCCACAATGGAATATCAGCTCTTCTTTAGCTTTGATGGGTTCACTGTTGCCCTGGTATCTTCTTCCCACCATATTAATGACAGACATCTAAAAAAATAAATAAAAAGAAGAATTTTTAAAACAATTACATTTTTTACGATACACAAAATACAGATTGCTTCATAACCTGAACTCTGAGTGCCAGCAGGTGCTTGTAGAATAGACCTATTCATCCCAATGAGTGAAATGCCTTCACAATGCAAGTGTAAAGTGTGCCCTGATTCAGCACCACTCACTACCTGGCTCAGAGCAGAGCTCCTGCAAAGGACTGAACATAACTCGCACAATATAAGTGGGCTGTGGCTTCTCAACATGTTATAGGTACTTATAAGAAAAGCTTTGTCACCGAGGAGAGGGGTGTAGTCTAGGCACTATAAATGTATAAAAATATTAACAGAACAGCCAAGAACGTAAAAAGTACATGTTTGTCTTAGTGTTTGTGTACTTGTATTTAAAGCTTTGGACTTTTCTTTAGATTTTTTTTTTTGTTTATGCCGTGTGTGTCAGGATGTTAGTCTTTTAGATCATTCAAGAGAAGGAGGGAGTTCTACTCGTTTATTATATTATATTTATGTTTTTTCCTAAATTTGAATAAAAAACTGTATATGAGTAACTCTGCTTATGTTTGGTTGCCAATTATCTGCCTATACCGCTTACTTATAGACTGGAATCTACTCTTCTATTGAGTATTCTCTACTCGTCAAAATTTAATAAAAAAACAAAATATGAATATAACAGGTACATTTGGAAGCCATCTAAAATGTAGATATTGCTTCATGAATCAAATATAAATTGTACCAAATATACTTGCCTTTTGTTCGTGGGGAAGAAGTGAACATAGGACGAGGGGTCCTCCTTGTGCGAATTGCTCCATAACGGACACAGGAACCCCGCTGATATGTACTGTGACATACCAACCAACCTGAAGATAAGCAAAATCTGTTAGCTAATCTGCATATTATCAAAGTTCATATTATTGTAATAAGCAGTAGGCAGACATACTGGTCTCATTTTATTTATAAAGGGGGATATTGGTAGATATAAATACTTTACAGCAGTGATGGCCAATCTTTTGCAAGCTAGATATAATGGATGTGCTTTCCTATAAAGTTTTTATTGGTGCGTCAAGACTTAGCTGCGACTGCTGCAGAGTGCAATTACCATGGCCCCCTCATTCTCGTCCTCCAAATCTCTGAAGACCCGCTTCCTGGTCCTGAAGAAATCATGGAACTGGAAGATACGCGCATAGTCTCTAGGAAGGTTCTCTTTGGAATCCCATGGTGATGTGCGAAAACTTTTCAAGCCGCGATATTTCTGAAACCTACAATGAACAAATAAATTGGGAATTACAAGGTGAGAGGGGAGTCAAAACCATCACAGTCTTACATACTTTTTTTTATAGAGATGATAACTTGATTCATTTTTAGAGATTTATAGTCTTTCAAAGTATTGCAAATTACAAGGACAGCTAAACAAAAGCAGTGTACATGAAAACAGGTTTTTCAATCAACTTGATCCAACAGTAAAAGGCCACCTAATAATATATCCAGCAAGAAGAGGGACACAAAGTCAGAATGATAAGGTATCTGTTCTATAAATGTACGCTCCAAATCACCACAACTTGGTTCTTTAGATCCATATCCCTGTGTCTTTTCTATCTGCGGCTTCTAACAGCAATGAAAATTGGGAAAATTGTAACAGCTGTAGGCCCACAAATGCAGCCATTGCCGCGCATGCACATTATGTCTCCCCTAACAGCTGACTTTGGCGGGGGAGGAGCGGAGATCGAGGGACATCAGCGCTGGACTTAGTTTCCCTTTAGATTCTACTTGTGTGCAATAAAATCAGACAAATTGATTAAATAATTTATATATAAAAGCCACAAGCACTAAACTCTGGGTTATTATGTATGGTGGCAATGAAGGAGTTAATCTGCCTTGTTGGTTAGATATAGGGATGTAGGTAAAGTTTGTAAATTTTAGTTGCTGGGCACAAGCTATGACACTGCTGTTGCTGGTGAACATCTAAGACTGACTGGCAATTTGGTGGCTAATGAAGTTCAATGTTTGATATTTATGGTCGTACACCTTAAAACGGCAGTATCACCTCCCACCCACCAGTGAAGGCTGCAGGGATCACAGGATCCGCCATCGACCTCAATGCTGTACGTTTGTGCATGGACAAGAGTACAGCAGTGATGTTGGCTCCTGGTGCTGAAGAGGTTTTGCCCGATGGAGGATCTTTGTGAATTTTGCAAAGTTCCCTGACAAGATAATATACATACATAAATAAAACCTCAATACATACTGTTACAAAAAACAAACAAAAACACCCTTCTACAGTTCTGTGAATCCTAAAAATCACTTCTTACCGGATTCTAGCTAGCTGGTTGCGGGGTGTGTCCACTTCATCAGGAAACAACTCATCTTGGCGTTCCAGCTTGTATCTTTCCAGCATCTGCTTTTCTTCTTCTTCATCAAGGTTCTCATCATATTTATCATCCCGCGTACTGTCTGGGATAGTTAGTGTTTCACTTTCCTCTGGCTCTTCGTTACTACTTCCATCTTCATCCTATCAAAAATACACAGGGACTATTTTCAGATATTTTATCTCAAACACAAAGTTCTCATAGGCTTCTTCTGTCAGTTCCTCTTGGTCATACAGAGTCTTCTAAACTCCATATGACCAGTCAGTATGTAGTGCTGGCACTAGTAACATTAACAGCACGTGTAGATCTGTTTGTTTTTTTCCTGTGGTTCACAAACCAACGCAGAGATGTTAATACAATAATGGCTTCAATACCTCAGATAAATCTTCATCAATAGCATCTGCCTGTTCTCCTTCCATGTCATCATCATCATCATAATCTTCACTTTCATCGTCTCCATGGTCTTCCTCATCATCCAGGATCCATGCAGCTTGGTATGCGGATGTCCCTTTTGGAACTTTCTTTACAATCTTTGTGTTCGCCTTTAAAGAATCTACAGAGGGGGAGGGGAACCAAACTGAGTTTACCAATATCAATATCTTTCTGTGAAAAGATCAGATTTTCAGATATACTTGGGAGATATCTTTATTATATCCATATAGTGCAGGTTAATGAAATTGCAATCATGAATCCTAAAACGGTGCTATATTTTGATCATTATTTGGCATCTCACCTCTAAATATCTGATCTTACAGGGCCATTCACTAAACTCAGACTAAAACAGCCAGGCTGTGGTTATAGCAGAGATGTATATTTTATTTTTACATCAGTTATTGTTGCAATTTGCCGTCCAATCCACAGTTAATTCAGGTTCTAGTAAGTAACCCAGTAGGTGATACTGTTAATTATTTTATATACGTCAAAGACAAACAGTCACTGGAACAGGAGAGACTGACCTTCTGCTTCCTTCAGCTCCTCCTCAGTTGGCCATGTCTGTTCTCCTTCCATAGGATCAGGAATCACTTCAGACAGCAATGACTCTTGTACTGTAGAATCTACCTTCATCAGTACCTTTACATCTTCTTCCATCTCATTACTGTTAACATCAGCATTGTCCTGCTAAACCACATGTAAAAAGAGCAAGCAATGCAATAGATTAGCAGATAGTTGCAGCTGTGAAGATCAGAAAGATAATGATATACAGTATATATATATAAATATACACACACACATACATATCTCTCAAGAAAGTTATGGTGGGGAAAAATTATAATTGAAAATCCCTTCCACCTGACGTCAGTAGATAGTCAAAACATTGTTAAACACAGATCTGGGTTGGTTTTATAGCTACTATACCAATTTAAAAGAATATAACAGAACATCACCATTTATACCAAACATTAAATATTTTATCCCAAATTTGCAGTGATGTTTGGGTGGGCATATGCAAATGAGTTCAACAAAGAATCAATGTTTGCCTGATTATTCCATGTTAAACATGAATTCCTTTTTGTTTGTGTTTGCTGTATACAACAGCTTTGAAACAACTGAGGAAGAGATGCAAAGCCAGTGTTGGACTAATTTGCATCACTGCCAATCTGGGATAAAATATTTAAAGCGGCACTGTCATGCCGAACTTACCTTTCCTCAATCTCTTCCTCTTCTCCCCCTCTCTCAGGATCTGTTCTTCTTTTCTTCCTGTCTTCTTTAGTTTTCTTTAAAATCATAAGACAAAGTAGGGACTCTTTGCCTTATGGAGGATTCCTCAGCTTGACCAGCTCTGACCAGCGGAGAGCAAAGTGTGCTTCATTTCCGTTGGTCAGAGCAATTTTCCCATGATCCCTAGCTTTACCTCTGTGTTCCCACAATGCTTCCTGTCACTTTACACTAAACTGCCGAATTGCGTTCTAACTGAATGACAACAGTCTGTTCGTTTCTTTTAGAACGCAATTCGGCACTTTATTCGAATCAGAATTTCATTCTAATGAATGAAACTCTGATCCTATTCATTGCTGTGGCTGCATCTTGCAGCCGTTTAGTAGATAACTCCCTAATTCCCACGGTATCAGGGAGCTATCTACTAAAAGGCTGAAAGACCTAAATTGGTCTAACAGCCAACTTTACTAATACTAAGTAAAGATTACTTAGTATTAGTAACTTAAATGCCCCTACTCGCTATACCGCGAGTAGGGGCATGTGTAGTAAGCAGTGAGCAGCGTATAGCTGCTCACTGTAAAAAAACAAACAAAAAACTAATAACCCCCACTCCCCCCATGCCCGTGGGGGCCCTAAATTTCTAATTTTACCCTGGCGATTG